CGCCCAGATAAGCTGCGTATCCGGGTAAATTACGCATAGAAAATTTCCAATTACGCATTGAAAAATAATTGTTGCGTACCAATTACGCATTTAAAATGTTAGATACGCAAAATGTTTAAAACAAATGCGTACGGAATATATTTATAAAAATCGCTTGCGTATTGAAAAAGACATGGATTGCTATCAAGTTGTACTGTTAGTATAGGACTAGTGTTGTACTGTCAGTATAGGATGAGGGATGTTTTATGAAATCATTTCCATTATATTTAAGTTGGTTTTGATTAGGTATGACATAAGGCAGAACATACCTGCTTAGTAAACTTACTCAATGACATAATACTGAGGTGAGTAAAATGACTGAAATACGCACATATTTGAAATCAGTGGGTTACGGAAAATGAAATACCCACTCAACATTCATAATACCCACTCCAAAAAAATACAGTGGGTAAGGTACCCACATGAGCTAAATCTTATCTGGAGCTCTGTATATATCGGAATGTCGCATCACATGAAGAAGTTGGCTAATAAAGCATCTTGCCTTTATTATTACTATTCAACTTTAAAATACCGCCATAGTTGATAGCAGATAAATAACAATGGTTCTGTGATAGTGATGCGTTTGGAAGCTTATAATCGTTTCTGAATATGAAAAAGGGAGACAAACACATTTTGAGGTATTTATTTTCTCTAAAATAATTGAAGCCACAAACAGTATCAAAATAATTGCAGCTGCTCGACCAATATCAGAATGGTCAGTCCCTTGGCACCATTGATGTGGGCGGTGGTGCAGACGGCACACAAATGTGCGCCCAGTAATGCACAAATGACGAGAATGAACGCAGAAAACCCAAAATACCTCATCCAGACGGACGCACAAAAATTACAGGGCATCAGGAGCAGTTATCTGTGATTGTTGACCCGTGAAGGTCCGGGTTAGAATGAACCTTCAGTAACCCACGCTTGTTGTAAGAGGCGACTAATGGGATCGGGTGGTCAGGCTCGCTGACTTAGTTGACACATGTCATCGCTTCCCAATTCCGTAGATCGATGTTCATGCTGTTGATCCCTGGATTGTCTGGTACAGACTCGATTATTTACAGACTGCTGCCATATAGCTGGAATATTGCTGAGTGCGGCGTAAAACTCAACTCACTCACTCACTCACTCACTGTGATTGTTATTTCACCCATCAGTCATGACCACTGTCCACATGACCACCGATTCATTCCAGGCTCTGAAGTAATTATCTGAACATACACTACACCATTTTAATACTTTACAAGACCCTCATGTTACCCAGTAAGCACCTGTAAAATATATTGATGGGGGTATCTTTTTGTAAGTCAAGGTAAAACCATGATGCAGTTGAGCAGAAGGATGGTTGAGTTCAGGATCAACAGATTTATGGATTTGGCCAATATAAAATACAAAATAAAACAACACAGATGAAAATAGTGATTTCATTTTCTTTTTGCCTTCTCGGTGATCAGTGAAAAAACATCATCAAATCATCCTGAATGCCATCATCGGTAAGATCATAACCCTTTTTCCATCATCAGCAGTCTGGCCTTTCCTTCCTGGCAGACTTACTGTGAATGTTGAAGGCCAGTGTTATTAGCAGGAGAATGTCCAGTGGAGATTCCAACATGCCAGCCAGATTAGAACCAGATGGGCAGGCAAACATCAGCCTCGACAACACAGAGGACTGATACTAGTGGAGCCTGGATAACACAGGGGACTGAATAACACAGCAGGCAGGTGGAGCCTGAATAACACAGCAGGCAGGTGGAGCCTTAATAACACAGCAGGCCGGGGACTGATACTAGTGGAGCCTGAATAACACAGCAGGCCGGGGACTGATACTAGTGGAGTCTGAATAACACAGCAGGCAGGTGGAGCCTGAATAACACAGCAGGCAGGTGGAGCCTGAATAACACAGCAGGCAGGTGGAGCCTTAATAACACAGCAGGCCGGGACTGACACTTGTAGAGCCTGAATAACACAGCAGGCAGGTGGAGCCTTAATAACACAGCAGGCCGGGTCTGATACTAGTGGAGCCTTAATAACACAGCAGGCCGGGTCTGATACTAGTGGAGCCTTAATAACACAGCAGGCCGGGTCTGATACTAGTGGAGCCTTAATAACACAGCAGGCCGGGTCTGAATCTAGTGGAGCCTAAATAACACAACAGGTCGGGGACTGACACTAGTGGAGCCTGAGTAAGACAGCAGACAGGTGGAGCCTTAATAACACAGCAGGCCGGGGACTGACACTAGTGGAGCCTGAGTAACACAGCAGACAGGTGGAGCCTGAATAACACAGTAGCTGTAACAGCATGCTACTCAGACAAGGGGAGCCAAGCCAGGTCGTCCACAATATTTCTGAAGTCAAAACAATACCAGCAAGCTTTTTTGTATCCTCTTTCGACCCAGAGACCAAAGAGTTCCACAAATGGGAATAAACAGGAATTCTTACAACACTGGTGGGTTTTCCCTTGAAAACAGCAGCAAAATACCTTGCATATACCAAAAACATTTGGATAGTTGTTTTTTAGTGCAATGTATGCTTCACCTTTAAATTTTTCACAACGAAGTGTTGGAAACACATTTGATTTTTGTTAGAGGAATATCAAACAAATGTTTCATATTTCTCAGCTACGATCACCTGTTAGTAATCAAAGCAGGTAAAACTTGCAACCATGTTCAACATCCCATGAATTTTGTTATGCCATTTGTGAGTGAGCGATGTAAGTGATGAGTAAGAGTGAGTGAGTGATGCAGTTTAGTTTTACACCACGTTTAGCAATATTTCTGCAATATACCGGCGGGGGACACCAGAAATGGGCTTTACATATTGTACCCATGTGGGAAATCGAACCCAGGTCTTTTGTGTGATAAGCAGACACTTTAACCACTAGGCAACCCCACCCCTCCAGCAACTTAATTGGGTGACTCCAGAAATGGACTATTAAAATGAATGAGTTCAGTTCTACGCCGCATTCCAGCTATATGACACTGGTCTGTAAATAATCGATTCTGGACCAGACAATCCAGTCATCAACATCATGAGCATCAATCATCTACACAATTGGGATACGATGACGTGTGTCAACCAAGTCAGCAAGACTGATCACGCTATCTTGTTAGTTACCTCTTACAACAAGCATGGGTTGCTGGAGACCAATCCTAACCCGGATCTATTGCTTGTAGATCAAATAACACCCAATGTCTAATCTTTCCGCTTTTACATTTACACATTTGATTCACTCACAAAAAAAACCCCTAACATGCAAAATAAAACCGCAACCTTTAAAACATATTCATTTTTCAAAGGTCTCAAATTCCTGACACTATGCTCAAAATTCGAGATTTATAACCAACGAACAAAAACATTCAAACAACATAGCAACCCCGCAAACAGTACCTCCCTATAACTACCAAGATTTGTTTACAATGTAGTTCCCTCTAATCAAGCCAATAGACCCAACCACACGACCCCTCTCTTCCTGTTGTGAACCCAATAGAACAGGCCTGAAATTCACTCCGATACTATTTCCCTCACAAATGTCAATGTCTGGCTACAACTTCTACTGGTGCACAACTAGCTTTGATGCTTATGGAAGTGTTACTGAGACTTTCTGTGTTTATGTGCTAACACAACATGGCGAGATGTTGACACCCTTGTGTAATGTACTGTTGGTTTGGGAGATAGTAAGAGACTTGTGATATGACATTACTTTGTTATCGGGGTAACCTGCCTACAATCAATAACAAACACACTGGTGAGAAACACCATAATTCCATAACTGCTGAGGTGGTTGTGTAGCCCGGGGAGACACCTTGTGATGATTCCATGCAATGATTTCAAAGATGATCCTCATCACATTTGTATCTTAAGGCCATTAAGGCTACACTGGTGTATCTAAAGGCAATAACAGCTATAGTAGTGTATTTCAAGGCCATCAAGGTGAAACAGGTGTCTTCACAGGCTATAATGGTGCATTTCAAGGCCATAAAGGTTATGCTGGTGCATTTGAAGGCCATCAAGGCTATGTTGGTACATTTCAAGGCCTAAAGGTTATGCTTGTACATTTCAAGGCCATCAAGGTTATGCTGGTGCATTTCAAGGCCATCAAGGTTATGCTGGTACATTTCAAGGCCATCAAGGTTATGCTGGTACATTTCAAGGCCATCAAGGCTATGTTGGTGTATTTCAAGGCCATCAAGATGGAACTGGTGCATTTCACGGCCAACAAGGCTGCACTGGTGTATTTCAAGGCCATCAAGGTTATGCTGGTACATTTCAAGGCCATCAAGGCTATGTTGGTGCATTTAAAGGCTATCAAGGCTATGTTGGTGCATTTAAAGGCTATCAAGGCTATGTTGGTGCATTTAAAGGATATCAAGGCTATGTTGGTGCACTTAAAGGCCATCAAGGTTATGCTGGTACATTTCAAGGCCATTAAGGCTATGTTGGTGCATTTAAAGGCCATCAAGGCTATGCTGGTACATTTCAAGGCCATCAAGGCTATGTTGGTGCATTTAAAGGCCATCAAGGCTATGCTGGTACATTTCAAGGCCATCAAGGCTATGTTGGTGCATTTAAAGGCTATCAAGGCTATGTTGGTGCATTTAAAGGCCATCAAGGCTATGCTGATACATTTCAAGACCATCAAGGCTATGTTGGTGCATCTCAAGGCAAACAAGGCTGCACTTCTTATTACTTTCTATCAGTTTATTGTTAAACACCAAACAGATTAATTATTGTAAATATTCTAATCTGGACCAGATAATCTAGTCATGGGTACTGGGAGCATTGATCTATGCAGCAATCTCTAAGTCTAACTTCACACATTGTGCCCATGTGGGGAATCAAACCCTGGCCTTCAGTGTGACAAGCAAACACTTTACCACTAGGCTACCCCACCGCCCCACACTGTCTACGAAGTACAACACACAAGAAGGGACAAACGTCAGTGTGGAAATGGCATAGCTTACCTTAAGTTCTTGTCCCATGTAAAATTTCAACAAACGTCATCTGCAACCAAGAAAGGTTGATATGTATCTCATGCTATCAATCCTACTGTACACAGGGTTTTACTTTGACTTACAATAGTAGTGGTCCAGAGGACCGCCATCAATACATTTTACTGGTCCTTGCTGGTACAGTCAAATCCTGATGAGTCAAATGCCGGTGTCTCGAATATTATGCATAACTCGAAGTACCTGTTGGTCCCGACCATTCCCTGTTATAGTTGTCATCATTTGAATACCGGTTACACGAATTCGTCCCCTAAATACACACGATGACTCGAGAAGGAAATTTGGTCCCATGAGATTTAAACAACAGCAATCTTGTATACATAAGCCGAAGTCAGTCAATGAGAAGTTGATTGGTGTAGCAAACTGATCCAATTAACAAACCAGCGCGGCTAACACCTTTCTGCCATTGACGGGTGAGTTCAAAAGGCAGATTAGTGATTTTACGGAAATCACTGTCTGTGCTAATCAGACTGGAACTGATAAGGTGCCCCTATTAGTGATAGGGAAATCATTAGATAGACAAATGCTTAGGCGGAGGAATTAGGACTGGATCATCTTTTTTTCTACCCTCATAGACATACCTATGTCTAGAATACATCGATAAGTCGAATATATTACTTGGTCCCCAGCAATTCGACTCATCAGGATTTGACTATATATCGTCAATACGAGGGGACGAGTGGAATTTTCGAGCCCTGACCGGTTAACCGGTATTATTGCCCACCCCTAGTAGAATGTCTCCTTGAATTGTTAAGTTCTGTCAATGTTCAGCAGCCATGAGTTCATCTGACAGAGCTACAGATAATCTTTTTTGATTATGTACTTGCTCGTGTTTATCTCAATTCTGTATCTTATCTTTCTTTCAGTAACCAAATAAATTGTACCAAACTCACACAAACTCAAATGTATATATTGCCATTTTCCATTAATTGTAGAAATATAATAAAGTTTAAATGTTAGTTTACGTGTTTGTTATTTATATTTGATCTGTAATAAGAGAATTGATAAGAAAGACTGCAAGTTGCCAAGTCCATATGTGCTGAAATAGGACATCTCAAAATACCTCAGTTATGTTATCTATCCAAGCAAGCTAAAATTTGACATTTTTGTGTGTATGCATGTAAGATCACATATATTTAGAATTTACAAAAAATCAATAGACTTAATAGGAATTGAGTTTTCACGTACATATTTCCGTAATTTACTCTGATACACAAATCACCTGTACCTCTGTCTGATAGCCAATTTTGTTTACTCTGGCATAAATCAGCTCACTGTTTGATTGACATTCTTGAAGTTGTTGAGTCAATAATAAAGCATATGACTTTATGGATTATAACTTGTTTAGTAAACAGAGTGAAATTTTGGTGTAGATTCTTACACCATTATTTAGCGTGTAAGAATCTACCCCGGAGACGTTGCTCTATGCGATAAACAAGAAGTTGTTATCCACAAAGTTCTAAGCTTTAATATAATGCATGTGCAGAGGCCACATAAGCTGCGTATCCGGGTAAATTACGCATAGCAAATTTCCAACTACGCATTGAAAAATAATTGTGGCGTACCAATTACGCATTTAAAATGTTAGATACGCAAAAGGTTTAAAACAAATGCGTACGGAATATATTTATAAAAATTGTGTAATGAAAAACATATCGATTGCTATCAAGTTGTACTGTTAGTATAGGGCAAGTGTTGTACTGTCAGTATAGGATGAGGGAAATCAATTGTATTATATTTAAGTTGGTTTTGATTAGGTATGACATAAGGCAGAACATACCTGCTTAGTAAACTTACTCAATGACATAATACTTAGGTGAGTAAAATGACTGAAATACGCACATATTTGAAAGCAGTGGGTAACGGAAAATGAAATACATTCATAATACCCACTTCAATAAAATACAGTGGGTACAGTACCCACATGAGCTAAATCTTATCTGGAGCTCTGCATGTGGATCCTGGTTGCATTGTAGCCAATATGGGCTGATAAAACAATTTCACTCTATGTAACTATATTGGTTCCTGACATACCTTGTTGTTATCACAACAGGGTTGACAAAATAATGATTTTCTCCCTATTTCAAGACTTGCTTCCTAGTTTTTGGAAGTCATTTCCACAACAAAATAATGATTTCTCCCCTTTAACCATCTTGGTTCTTGTTATAAGTTGTTATCACAACACAGTTAACAAAATAATGATTTCTCCCTGTTAAACCACTTGATTCCTGGTTTTTTGGAAGTCGTTTCCACAACAGGGTTGATAAAATAATGATTTCTCCCCTTTAAAGCTCAGTGTTGTTGGCAACAGGAAATACCATCACTGACTACCTGACCCAGTCTTGACGTCTTGCTTCTCTAACTGTGCTAATAGTCAGAAAGTAAAAAGTGAAACTTTCACACATTGTGAGCATATGAGCGGATCAACTTATCATTGCTCCTTACGAAACGTGAATAAACTTTCACATTAATTTTTTCATGACAAAACATGCCAGACTCCGATCATGAAATTTCTCAACAAACTTCCATACATAAAATTCGAAATGTATGAAACATGAGACATTGTTGAGCCCAAATTCAAATAAATCTCTCGTAAACATGCATAAAGATAATCATTTCTTGAGCCATTATAAAACAAATTGCAATAAAATCCTTTTTTTATAGTCCGACTCTGCTTTCAGACGGAATGGGTGCCGTAACACTTTGTATTTAATGTTGAAGACTTGAGCTCACAAGAAACAAGTGCTAGAAACTCATAACGGTTAATGTGAACACAACAGGAAGTTTAACCCAAGAAGTCTCCAGTGTAAGCCATCCAATGATAAACACCATCAGCTGTAAATAACACCTTCTTAAATCTCAACATACCAACCTATTTCCATCAAATAATTTAACGATATTTTTTACAAGTTCAGGGCAACAAAAACAAAACATATCAGCTGAAACCCTGTTTGTTTACATCCTTAAGTCAGCGACATATATACGCCAATATCTCCGTCTCCTCTGACAGCGGTAATAAAACTACACACATCCCAGCCACTAGGCTTTTACACAAACTATTTAGTCAAATACTTGGTTCAGCATAAAAAACACATTAGCCTGCGATAAAGTCAAAGATCGGGTTTAAAATGATAATAAAATGTCTCCTCAGGCTATGGGTATTCTACCCACTGAAGCATAGCAACACTTACGATATGCATTTGTCAAACAGTGTGTCATTAATCTTGATAACATCTTCATCACACTTCTTTTCTGCCGATATATTTTTTGTTCTGTTATCCCCTACATTCTCGCGACTGATTTCCTCACAGACAGATTATTCATGTATAACCAATAAAATCAGGAGATCACAGAGTGATATTTTTTAAATATGTAATAACTCTCCTGCATTATTTCCTAATCGTTACTCATAATTTTGTATGGGAGTTTGATTTATTGAAATGGGTTTTTTTCAGTTAGATAAAAAAAAATTCACATTTTTTTCTAAGACTGGACATTTGTGACAGTTGGTGGGTGTTAAAAAGAGGTGACTATTGAGGGCGAAACAACTCTTGCTAATGTGATAGTCTATTGCAACATACTATTGTGATATCGATACTCTATTGTGATGAACTATTTGCAATACCATTGCAATAGTATTTTTCTCCTTGAATTGTTTCATTTGAAGTCATTTCCCAAATGAATGTATAGTTTATATGAAATTAAAACAAGCTGAAGTAGTTTTAGTCTCGTTTAATAACTGACAAGAAACCTGAAACACAGATGAAGTAAACAGTTAAAACATAAACTCAATGAAGCTGCAAGTCTGCACCCAAACAATCTGGTACTTCGGTATTTTGCGCTTTACATTTATCAACGGAAGTCAATTACTAAACTATTGATAGTCACACATACTATCGATGGATCGATAGTTTTTCGTTTCTACCATCGATTAATTGGTATCAGAGACACAACAATTGCAATCCATTGATAGTTTGATGCGTCGTTATAGCCCTTGTATTGAAACACAGTCTTCTAACTGTTAGTGATTTTTAAGTTCTTAGTATATCAGCTGTGCAAGGACAGCCTGTATTTCTTGACAAGATTAGCATGTGCCGCACAGAAAACAACTACAACATATGCATTTATAGGTGAGGTGAGGTGAGATGAGGTGAGGTGAGGTGAAATTGGATTTAACGTCGTGCTTGAGAATATTTCGCTCATATGACGACGTGCATGCGTGTGTATGTGTATGTGCCGCTGCTTGTACTAGCCCAGACTGAAGCTGGTTTTATAGTGATAGCCCACTGAGATACCATGCCGCAGTGAAGCATGAATACCCCACTCAGACACATTATACTGACTCCGAGCCGACCAGTCCTTGCTGTACCCATTAATGCCGAAAGCCAGGCAGGGACCAACAAGTACCATATTTTAACGTCTTTTGGTATGACGCGGCCGGGGATCGAACCCGCGACCTTCTGCTCTCCAGGCGGACGCTCTAACCACTACACCACGGAGGCGGTCTATGCATTTATAAATTTTGGGGGAAGACAATCAAGATGACCAATCCAGATTTACACTTCAAGCAGAATAGAACTTTGTGGTAGTCTGCAGCATGTACAAGTTCAAGTTGGTACAAACCACTGACTCAAACCAGAGAATGGAGTGAGTGAGTGAGTTTAATTTTACGCAGCAATATTCCAGCTATATGGCGGCGGTCTGTAAATAATTGAGTCTGGACCAGATAATCCAGTGATCAACAGCATGAGCATCGATCTGCGCAATTGGGAACTGATGACATGTGTCAACCAAGTCAGCAAGCCTGATTACCCGATCCCATTAGTCGCCTCTTACGACAAGCATGGGTTAATGAAGGCGAGGAACAACCCTATCAACATTCAAAATATCAACATATTTATCCTGGATTGACAATTATACGAATCTAAATCTGGATTGACAATTATACGAATCTAAATCTGGATTAACAATTATATGAATCTAATTCTGGATTAA